CAAAAATAAGGGCAGGATGGAGGAGAAAGGATGAATTTGGGGTCATTCTGCTTGAAGCAGGGCGATGTGACACATCCTAAAGCCCATCCCTGCCCTTGCCTTATGGAGGCAATAATGAGTATTGTGAGTTTGAAACTCTAATTGAAAGGAAGAGTTCAATCAGCCCCAATATCCCACTCTGGACTCAATGTAGTGGATCTTTACCAGCTCACATTTTGCAACAGCTGCCACAAGTCAGAGAAACCCCAGCTTTGTTTTGTCATCTGCTACACCCGTACAAATGGAGAATGAAATTCCTCGAAGAAAAATAATTCATTTTTGGCAAAACGCTAAGATACAAATGGGGCATCATAGACCCGTTGAATTGCTATAGTTGGAAAAGCCCTCTAAGACCATCAAGTGAAACCATTCCCCCAGCACAGCCAAGGCCACCCCTGTCCCCTGTCCCCAAGTGTCACATCCACATGACTTTGAAAAGCCTCCAGGGATGGGGACTCCACCACTGCTCTGGGTAGCTGTTCTGGACAATTCTTTCCATGAAGGAATTTTCCTGATATACACCCTGAGCCTCTCCTGTCCCATCCTGAGGCCGTTCCCTCTCCTCCTGTCCCTGTTCCCTGGGATAAGATCCCAAATCCCCCCCGGCTGTCCCCTCCTGTCAGGGAGTTGTGCAGAGCCACAAGGTCCCCCCTGAGCCTCCTTTTCTCCAGGCTGAGCCCCTTTCCAGCTCCCTCAGCCTCTCCTGGGGCTCCAGCCCCTTCCCCAGCTCCGTTCCCTGCCCTGGACTCACGACACTCGTCCCCTTTGTCACCATAAATTGTGCTCCCTCATGAAATGAGCTGGGGAGGGCTCTGGATGTGTGCTGGGTTTCTGGGTTCCTTCGAGCTGCTGTGAGCTCCCAAAAATCCTCTTTTCAAGGAAAAGAGAAAAACCACCTCCTGGGCCACATATCTAAAAAGGGATATGGAGAAAAATAATTGCAAAGTGTTTTCTTTCTCTCCATTTCTCTCCTCCCAAATGGCTGCTCTTTGGAGCTGAGGTTTTCACCCATTTTCTTATTTTATCTCCATAAAACTGGAAAATTGAAATGCTGAAATATTGCACTTTAATCAAATGCATAATAACTTCTTCTAGTTTGCCTCTCTCTCTCTCTCTCTCTTTTTTCTTAAGTAAAGAAACAAGGTAAGAAGCAGAAGGAAAAAAAATCACAGGGAGGCAGAAAATAAAGCAGCAAAATAACTCAAGATTAAATGTCAGTGTAAAAAAATCTCAAATAAAACCCTTCCAGTTTTTGAGTCCAGTTTTTGGGTTGGGGTTGCTATTGCTCCCAGGCATGGAACAAAGGTATTTGCTGTAGAGATTTCCCCTCCTTTTTCACCCTTTCTCTATCCACGGTGCCTTAAGTGTTTTTCACCATCACATTTCCCTGGGGGTTCTCTAGTGTTTTTCCCCCAAGCCCCACAGGCTTTGTGCCTCCCCCAACCTGAGACTTGAGACCCTCAGCCCAAATCATTCTGGGATTCCATAAAAAGGCCTCTGGGGGGGTGTGAGATGTCCCTCTGGAGCAATCCACGGGCTTCAAAACTGCTGGACAAAGCCCTTCACTGGGGGCTGCTCCCCTGTCCTGACAGAGGCCAGCCAAAAAAAATCCCTTAAATGTGAAGAGAACTGACCCGTCGTTTTCTGAGCCAATTGAAACCCTTCTCAAAGGGTTTCACCCAGCTTGGTTTTGCAGAGGTGGTGAAAAGTCCCATATCAGGCTGAAATGACTGAGGGCTTTGGGGTGGGCAGAGGGTGAGGGCAGATCTTGTGGGCTTGGGAATTTTGGTCACCCTCAGACCTGCCCCAGGACGGTGCTGATGTGTGGCTCAGGGCTTCCCTGTATCACATTTTAATTTCTGGATATCCTCCTGGATAAGGGGAAGATGCTTCCCCATGGCCCCGAGGGGTGAGACATCCCCAAAATTACATCCCACGGTGCCTCGGTGCCTGTGCCTGCAGCACCCCCAAAACACCCACCCGTGCCACATGCGGCACCCACGAGGCCAGAGAGCATCCCGGTGGAGAGGAATTTCACCCTTTTTAAGGACCAGAAGGGGCAGAGGCGGGAGGATGCCCCAAACGGGGAGTGCTGGACCCCAAAATCTGCGCTGGGGCTCGCCCGCAGGCACCAGGAGGGCAGGAGGGAGCCGGGGGCTAATTTTAACATCAACCTGTGCCTGCGGCATCTGCGGAGAGCAGCGGGGGATCGGGTGTCCCGGGAAGGGAGGGGATGTGAGTGAGGATGCAAAGCGACAGCAGCGGGGGCTGAGCCCCGTGAAATGCCCGGGACAACTGCGGCAACGGGGCCGGGGGCCACCGGAGCAGCTGCCCGGGGCAACTGCGGCTGCTGGAAGGGTGGCCCGGGGCCAGCAGCCGTCTCAGGGGACCATGGAGGGGATGCCAGCGTGTTTTGTAGGGTGCTGGGACCCGTCCTGCAGCCGTCAGGGTGGGGATGAACGGTGCGCATCCCTCCTTGTCTGATTCTGCTGGGCTCGGCTGCGTGGTGCCCTGAGAGATTTTTATGGCGGAAAGAAGTGTCCCTTTGTCGGGTGTGTGTGACACAGCCAGCTCGACATCGCACCTGGACGCTGGGGGTGATTTGGTGCTGCTGGCACCGACGGGTGGGAAGGGTTTTTTTTCAGTGCTGCGACGCAAACGGGGCTCAGGAAGCGTTTCATTACAGCATGAACATGGAAAATTAGATTAGATGGGATGTAAGGAAGAAGTTTTTATGGTGAGGGTGGGCAGGCCCTGGCACAGGGTGCCCAGAGCAGCTGTTGCTGTCCCTGGATCCCTGGAAGTGTCCAAGGCTGGACACTGGGGCTTGGAGGACACTGGGACAGTGGAAGGTGTCCTTGCCCATGGTTTCAGATAAGCTTTGAGGTCCCTTCAAGCACAAACCATTCCGGGATTCTAGGAAAAACAGGAAACAACAAATGTTGCTCATTCCTTGGAAATGTTAATGCTGTTGGGACATGATGTGCTGCCTGCCAGTCCCGAGCCGGGTCTGGCTGAGCCCTGGGGTGGGCAATGTTCACAGCAGCACGGTGACGGTGGGGGACAAAGGCCAGGCTTTCCCTGCCAGGAGCCCCCCATGGGTCAGGGCAGCCTCCTGAAGGCACCGAGCAGGGTAAGGCAGGAGGGGGAATCCGAGCTGAGGTGCAATGGGATGAGCACCGGGAGGCAGTGGACACCTGGAATTTGTCCTGCTCCCGTTTAGGCGGTGCTCAGAGCAGCAGCTGGGTGAACGTGCCCCTAAAGAGCCCTTCTGGGTGGAGGTTGCAGCTCTGGAGAAGGCTCGAGGGAGAGCTGGCAGCTCTCCCTGCGGATTAAGTTAATCCTTCCCAGGCATCTGCCCTGGGACTGTGGGACGGGCAAAGAAGGGGTTACACAGATTCAGGTTACCAAACTCGCGTTTTTATTCAGATCAAGGGAAAAGAAAAAAAAAAAAAAAAAAAAAAAGAAATCGAAACACCGCCCCGAACAACGAACCCACAACGAACTCACAAACCCAGCCCAACGACAGACCCAATGCCGTAATCCAGGCGGATAAATCCATGGCACATCCGCGTCCGGAGGCTGCCGGGCGCTTAAACCTGCCAGATGCACGGGATGGATAAGGCTAAGCGGGGATTAAGGGGGCTCCCCACGGCGGGACGGCGGCGGCAGCGGGCGGGGCGACGGGGGCCAAAGGAAAAAAACAAACAAACAAACAAAAAATCCTGGGCAGGGTGGGAAGGCCATGGAAAAGTCGCTTTGCAGCGGAGGGAAATTATTCCCTGAGTCTTGCGCTTTGACAGAAATCCCTCCTGCACAACGGGGGCTTCTGACCTCCATTAAAACAGTTTTAACTCGAGATGAGCGTCTGTTTGTGGTATTTTTGGGGGGGTTAATGGCCCTTCTTTAGGCTGGGGGTGTTCGTTGCACCAGCAGGTGGGTGGCTCCGAGCTCCCATGGGTTTCCAGAGCTCTCCACACCCCTCTGGGCTTGGCCAGAGCAATTTTAGGTCAGTGATGCCCCAACGGATAAATTCTGTCAGTAACTGGGGCGCCGACACAATAGGGCCACTGTGTCATCCGAGGGGAGGAGAGCGGGACAGGGATGGGGACTGGGATGGGGACAGGGACAAGCCCCCAGTGTCCCTGCTTCTGGCACAGTCTGAGGCGTGTTTCCTGAGTGCCACGGCCAGGGATGAGTGCAGGGAGTACTGCAGAATGTGACCCACGTGTGTGTGATGGGGAGAGGGCGGGGGCAGTGGGTGGCATGTGAAATGTGTCTGTGCACACCTGTGTGGTGTCTGTGTGTGCCCTGAGCGTGTCAGTGCGTGTGCAGGGTGGGATGTGTGTCTGTGCACACCTGTGCTGCTGCCACATGTATGCACACCTGTGCATGTGTGCAGGGATGCTGCCCTGCCTGCGTGAGCATGATGGGTGGATGGATGGATGATGGATGGATAGAGGGAGGGGTGGATGGATGGAGGGATGGATGGAGGGATAGAGGGAGGGATGGATGGATGGATGGATGGATGGATGGATGGATGGATGGATGGATGATGGATGGATGGATGGATGGAT